TGGATTAACCAGCAGATTTGCCCCCATGTGATAACGTCCTATGATTCCATATGTCTAAGATCCTACATCAAGGAGATAGATTGTAACATGGGATTATGTAAGAGTTGTGCATTAGTGAGTTGCAACAAGCAGCAACTGAATGTGCACCTAAATGTGAAATGCATGATGCCCCAAACACAGTCTGGGCAAACAGCCAAAGGCTGATTACTACATAGCTGATAGCCAGCAGCTAATGAGCAAGCCAAGTCACAGTTTAGCATTTATTTTACTTTAGTAGATACAAGCCTTTGGGATGCGGTGGCTTAGGGCCTAAGCAGATGACTTATTGGGCCATCTTGGGGGCAGGGACGGGAAGGGCAACCGCATGCTCGGCGCCCCAACCCTCTCCCGAGGTCGTCCTTGGAGCAGCCAGCCCTCCGCACGGCCAGCGCTCCAAGGAGGACCTCCCGCCGCAGCCTTTCCACACGCTGCGGCAGAAAAGTCGATGAAAATGTGCTGCAGCCTTTTGCGGCACACTTTCGCTGACTTGTGAAAGGAGCGCTAATTTAGTGCTCCTTTCAGGGGCGGTGAAGCTGCGCCGCAGGGTCGAGGCATGGGGATGCTTTGGTCCCGCGGTGCAGCTTCCCAGGGCTGTCCATGGCTGCCCGTCTGCTTAGCCCCTTAGTGGTTAAGATGCCAGTTCTGATGATCAGAAGATCGAAAGGTTGGCATTCAAGGCCCGAGTGCTACATGGTGGGGTGAGCTCCTGTCACTAATCCCAGCTTTTGCCAACCTAGCAGTTCAAAAGCATGCAAATGCAAGTAGATAAATAGGTACCATTCTGGTGGGAGGGTAACAGCCTTTGGTGCTACATGACCACCAGAGCAGTCCTCAGACAAAGCTGGCTCTTCAGCTTAGAAACGGAGATGAGCACTGCCCCCTAAAGTCAGTTACTACTAGACATTCATGTCAAGGGACTACCTTTACCTTTTACCTAGATACAAGTCTTAAGTCCTAAACAGAGTTCAGCAATGTCCAAGTCAGGTAAATGCATCCAGAGTCAATGAACACAGTCCAGTTCAGATACATAATATCCAGAATCAACAAACACTGTCCAGGTTGAGTTAAGGAATACAACAGGGAGCCAAGTAAAGTCAGATAATCTCTGATAACCTTCAGAATTTATAGATCAGCAGCTGTTGCTTAATTATTTGCTGCTTCCTATAAATCCTCTGAGACCTCTTCAAGCACTCCCTTTTTGTCTCTACTTGGTGAAGGTAGGTAAGGTAAGTGGTCTTCTATACCTGAATGGGCAAGATTCTCTGCCAGAGCTGGTACTGCACTCTAGTCTGCTCTGGTTTAGCAGCAGGTCCCAGCAAGTCCACCACTCCAGTCTCTGAGTCAGATCCATGTCCATATTCTGGAAGCAAGGCAAGACACATGATTGCAATGCACAATGTCTATCTGAATGTACAATGGCATTACAGATACAATGGAACCACTTGGACAA